GAGCCCGATGCGGGACTCGATCCCGGGAGTCCAGGATCATGACCTGAGCCGAAGGCAGTCGATTAACCAACTGAGCCACCCAGGCGTCCAAGTTTTTTGTTTTTAAACCAACATATTTTTACTAATTATTTACTTAATGAGGGAACAGATTGCATCAGTTCACTTCAAAGAAGAACTGATGAAGACCTCTTGTTTAATTGGTTACTGTAAATGTACTTTAAAAAGTTTTTATCTGAAAGTTTTCTTCATTTAAGACCATTTATTTCAAGTAAAATAGGTTAGGACTGGGTATTTTTTACTAGGATGAATCTCTATTAAAACTTAATTTTAGAGTAGAAGTTAACCAGGGATTCAAAATGAAGTTCCAGGGAAACTCTGAAGCAGTATATGGACATTTCTCTTGGATGAGGGTAAGTAGCTTTGAATAGGTTTTCAAAAGGACTCAAAACTGCTCTATCACCAGTAAGAGATTAAAAATTACAGCAGTAGTTACAGAAGCAAATAGGAATTTTAGCTTGTTGTATATCTCACCTTCAATTCTAAGCAAGTATGGTTTATGTAAAAATGCATGAATGTTAATAAATATACAAGTACATATCAATAACCAATAATTAAAATAAAAGCATTGCTTCTCATTAGCCATACATTGCTAATACAGGTACTATATACTATTAACTTCTTGGCAATGTGTAGATTAATGGCAAATAAATCGTGAGATAAATATAGTTGGTATCAGAGCTAACATAACTATACTAGAAGGAACTAACTTTATTTTTTTTTTTTTAAGATTTTATTTATTTGACAGAGAGAGACACAGTGAGAGAGGGAACACAAGCAAGGGGAGTGGGAGAGGGAGAAGCAGGCTTCCCGTGGAGCAGGAAGCCCGATGCGGGGCTCGATCCCAGGACCCTGGGATCATGACCTGAGCCCAAGGCAGACGCTTAATGACTGAGCCACCCAGGCGCCCCTAGAAGGAAGTAACTTTAAATCATTCTGGACATGGAAGCAGCTTCTATTTTTATAGCTCTTCAGGGAAAAGAACAACTGTGATCTACCCTTAGTAACCATTTTGATTAGGCAAATTTTTATAGCAAAAGGATCAGTCACATTTTAAACTGACCTGTTTGCACAGTCATTTGTTGTTTGGCACATCTTGCTGGTCAAGAGAAGAGCCCTTACCTAGGATAAATGTCACCGAAGACATGGCCCAATAGTTGAACACGAGCCAAATAGCCTAGGAGTGGGTATACAGTCATCATCTGGAACAGCAGGAATATCCTTGCAATGAAGGACAGGATGTCACTGCTAGGGAAGTTGTCTAAAAAATTCTAATCAAAGAAAGATAATGAAGTAATGTTAAAAATAAATTCAGTACATACAAATTTATAAAACTGACTATCTTTTGCTTATTTGGAACATAGGTGCCACACAAGTTTTGGTTTGTGGACCGGTGCTCACCCACAAACTATATGTGAACTATTATTTTTCAATAAACTAAGTACAAAAATTGAAATGTTTAGAAATTTTTATAGGAATTTGACATTGCCACATTATTTTATTTTACAAAAGTATCAGTCTGTAATTGATTTGACATTAAAACAACAAAGAAACCCTTGCCCTTCACAGAGTCTCAGAAGCACTGCTCTGTAAGGTAGGTACAAGCATAAATCTGTTTTAATACATTCAAATGGCTAATTTAATTCGATGTTATTTGATCCTCACCAATTCTTTTGCTTTTCCTTCCCTGAAACATCATAGTACTTCCAAAGTAAAGATTATAGAATAATGTGAGAGTATGTATATCACCTAGTATCATTATTATTTATAGCCTATAATTAAAAAGAAAATGATTTATTTCTATTTCCTCTCATGATTTTCTCCATTTTAGTTTGGCATCTAAAAGGAAAGTTAATTACTCAGAATTTTTTTGTTTCCTTTCAAATACAAATACCATAGATATTCCTATTCCCAAGACAGTGGGCTTTATAAGGGATTGTTCACATTAGGGGAATTTTCAGCAAACATTTGGCTGCCAAAGAACTTCTGGAATCATGGAAATCAAGAGAAGAACATTTCAAGCTATCATAACAGTAATAATTCAAACTTATTTCTCTTATAAAGATGAAAATATTATTAACAGTATTATGCTGAAATAACTCTTATAATTCATCCATAATAAATTGTACTGTATATTCCACTACACTTTTTTTTTTTTAATAAAGATTTTATTCATTTATTTGACAGAGAGAGACACAGCGAGAGAGGGAACACAAGCAGGGGGAGTGGGAGAGGGAGAAGTAGGCTTCCCGCCGAGCAGAGAGCCTAATGTGGGGCTTGATCCCAGAACTCTGGGATCATGACCTGAGCCGAAGGCAGATGCTTAACGAATGAGCCACCCATGCGCCCCTCCGCTACACTCTTATTAGAGGAATTTCTTCTGACTAGAAAGAAACTCATCTGTAAAATGCTATTTTTGTCAGTCACATTAAACTAGAAACTGCACTGTTCCTAAGTTTATGATGGGTCAAATCAAAGAAAGTATTACTTATGGCAACTTTTTTTATAAAATCTTTTCTTCTATTCTTTTCATCTCCCTCTCTTTTTAACAGCCAAATAGTCTTTCTTTGTTTTACTGCCCGCCACGGTGTACAAAAATGAGTGTTAGACCTATCATTGGGGACTGATGAGCAAAGACACCAGATTATCCAGGACATTTCCAGATCCAGGCTTTGAAAAATAAGGAGGTTGCATGTATTCCCAGCAGAGGTTTTACAAATTCATGAATAGCACCAATAACAGTTTTCCAAATAAAGAGAAATACCATGCACATAATAATAGGAATTATCTATTTTGAGTACCACAAGGGGCTAGCATGCAGTATGCTTTCTCGAGAGTCTCTTTAAAAATCTATGGTGTATGTATTATACTATTTAATGGAATAGGAAACCGAAGTTTAGAAAGGATGGGGAAGATGCCTAAAATCTCACATGCAGAGTAAACAGTAGAGATGGTATTCAAACCCCGGTCTGTCTGGGATTATAACTTGCTACCGTATCACCCCACCTGCTCTGCAGATAGGAAGGTGTTAACAATCATCAAGAGAGGGTACCTACTGCCTTACCTGCTCTATGCAATCCTTGGTTAATGGTGGTGAAGGAAATGAAGCAAAAACCAGGATTCCAATATAGAGGTAAGTTAATGTCACCAGCATATAAGCAATGGACAAGTCCCTCACCTGTAAAAAGAGAACAAAATTCCCATAATACTGAATAAATTTGCAGTTAAATCTGCCTGAATAGACTAAATAAGAAAACTGACAAATTCAAGATTTATCTTTTGGCTGTGTGTGTTTTTATGTACGTGCCTTCTAGGTATCCAATCTGTTCACAAAAGTAGATAAAACAAAATTCACATACTTCACAATCAGTCCAACAATCAATCTTTCTTTCTTTTTCTTTCTTTCTTTCTTTCTTTAACATAAATGGTGGCTTAACAAAAAATTATGACTAATTTCTAAGGTAATTTATTTACCACATTACAAAATATTTGATTAAAAATAATAAAGCTAAGGGACAAGAAAGCAAAAACAAGCCACCTTCAGTATGACCTACAGAATTAAAAACATTTTTCTTTTAGTAAATTGACTTTGCTAAACCATCAAAGCATGCCCTGGCTGAAAGAAACTGGTACAGTATTAAAACATATTTAATAAAGAAGGAAAGCTAGTTAAAGGGCAGACAGTAAGCAGGTATCACAGACAAGCTTAACAAACCTAAACAGTAAACAAAAGGAAATCAAAAGGCAACTGTTCCAACAGCTGCACAATGTTATTATTGGAATCAGTAAACAAATGCAGCACATTAAATAAAGTGGGTTGCTTTCTTCCACTGCTGTTCCCACCCTCCTGACCTCCTACCCCCATGTGAAGGAAAAAGCTCCAAGACATTTAATGCAGCCAGCTGTCAGATCCAAACAGAACAGATCCCACGGCTCACAAATCTGGTCTCCATCATCGCTAAAGTTACAGCCAAACAATTCAGCACAACTAAATTATGGCAATAAGCCTATTCATTTTTCATTTTAAACACAAATTACTTTGAAAGCTAAGAAAACAGATAAGAAAAAAATTATATACAATTTTACTTTAGTTTGATAACACAATAAGGAAAGTGGACATTTGGCATTAGGGAGCATTTCTGATTTTTTGGACAACTCTTCTCCTTAAATGGGCTGAGCAAGAATAGAAAGTTATAAATTTGAATGTTCATAAATTCACTTAAAAAGCAAGTAACAAGCTACGAGAAATCCTAAGGTTAGGTCTAAATAGACAATCAGCTTGAAAACAAACCAGGGATTCCAGACCCTGAATTAGATGGTGGACACGCCTATGAAGAAGCCACAGGAACTTGGATTATGCAGGTTGGTTCTAGCATTCTCAAAGAGCTTCTAATTGTTTAGGGTTGAGGAAGGAGGCTTCAGGGGGCTTTCAAAGTCTTTCCTCTTTTTTTTTTTTTTTTTTTTAAGATTTTATTTATTTGACACAGAGAAAGAGCACAAACAGGGGGAGTGGGAGAGGGAGAAGTAGGCTCCCTGCTTAGCAGGGAGCCTGACGATGACCTGAGCCAAAAGCAGCCACTTAACTGAGCCACCCAGGTGCCCCAAGTCTTTCCTCTTTAGTTTATGAAGCCTAGGGCCCATTTCAGGCTAGACATCAGTCACTCCTAAGGTTGTCTCATGGTTTTGTAGAGAATGAACAGAAATGAACAAGGAAACTACCTTTCATATCAAAGGGTAGTATTCTCCCATTATGATGTTTAAAAGTCATTCTACCTTCAACCTACTCAATGTGACTCAAAAACAGAGGTAGTCTTATAAAATGCAAAATCTTGGGAGGCCAAAACAGCTGTGTCAGAGATAGCTATACATAAAGTGGGACAGCTACCATTTCATGGACAGTCTTTAGCTTACATAGCACCTGATCACCCATCATTCTGGTCAGGCTTTCTGCAAAGACGTGTACCTTAGTAGACTTTGGGGGAAAGTCTGATGAAGATGGTAAGGCTAAGGTGCAAAGGCTTCCTGATAAGTCAGTTTTCCCTTCTGTTTTCCTGTTCTTATAGCACTGTACACATACCTGAAATTACAACATCTACTAGAGTTTATTGTAGTTATTACTAGTTTCTATTATAAAAGTAATCTATGTTCATGAATGAAAGCTCCCAAGGGGAAAAAAACTGTCCCTCAACACCCAAAAAGTAGCCAACATTAAGAGTTTTTGTATCGGGGCGCCTGGGTGGCTCAGTTGGTTGAGCGACTGCCTTTGGCTCAGGTCATGATCCTCGAGTCCCGGGATCGAGTCCCGCATCGGGCTCCCTGCTTGGCGGGGAGTCTGCTTCTCCCTCTGATCCTCCTTCCTCTCATGCTCTCTGTCTCTCATTCTCTCTCTCTCTCAAATAAATAAATAAAATCTTTAAAAAAAAAAAAGAGTTTTTGCATCATGTTGGTATTTTAATTTTTCTATGTCTAAGTTGGTTCATACCACTAGACTATGAGATCCTTGAGGGCAAGGACTATGTGTTTTTCACCTTTATATCCTCAATACCCAGAACAATATCTGGGACAGAGGAGGAACCTGGTAAATGTACAGGAAAAATAATAAGCACGCTGGTTATAGTTAGTAGCCAGTTATTAAATAGGCTAGGTGCTAGGCTATGCAATAAGCACTTTATATGTATAATCTCATTAAATGTAGGTGCATTCATTTTCTTCATTTTATAAATGAATAAACTAGTACAGCAAGGTTACAGAACTTGTTCATGGTTACAGAGTAAGTAGCTGGTAAAGTCAGTATTCAAACTAAAGATGTTATGGCTCCAAATTGCATGCCCTTAGCTATTACAGTAGAGAAATGATCAGTCTCGAATGCATCTGTGTCACAGTTAATAAACAACAATAAAGAAAATAAAGATAGGTGGCTCAGTCAGTTAAGCGTCTGCCTTTGGCTCAGGTGATGATCCGAGGGTCCTGGGATTGAGCCCTACATCGGGCTCCCTGCTCAGTGGAGAGCCTGCTTCTCCCTCTCCCACTCCCCCTGCTTGTGTGTGCTCTCTCTCTCTTTTAAATAAATAAATAAATAAATAAATAAATAAATGAATAAGATCTTTAAAAAAAAAAAGGAAAAAAGATAAAGAAGTAACAAGTTACGAGTAACAAAGGATACAGCAGAGTGCACACACAGATGCAAGAGAAATATTAAAATCAGTTCTATTTTACAGTAGTCTAAATGTACACTCAATGCAACTAGGTCAAGAGTTGCGTATCTGTTTTCATCTGAAACTACTCTAATGAACAGAAAAGATGTTTTAATATGAAAGCAGCTGAGGGTTAGCATGATCCTGGGAAGCATGCCACCTATGAATACCATGCACACATGTGGGTTTTGCTATTCTCTGGCTTGAACACAAGCCATCACTGTACTAGGCCTGGAGATACAGCCTCTTAAAAGCCCGTTTAATGGAAAAGGGAGGAAAAAAGCCATCTTTTAGACAACGAGTCTCAAAGTAAAAAATATATTTAAAAAGAGGCACAGGTGACAAATGAATCCTACACATTAATTAGGTAATCTACTCTGCCTTATGAATGAGCAACAGGGGGCAGGGTGACGGGAAGAATGCCACCTCAGAATGAGGACTAGCTTTATCGGGGGTGGGCACAAGTGGTGCTGGAAGCACATTCTGCTTCTCGAATATAGTTTATGATTTGTTCCACATACCGTTCATAGTGAAAATACTATGCAATGGAGCATTTACTAACAAAAACGACAGACAGAAACTGACCACACAGAGCTATCCTGCACATTTACATAAAAACCTCTGACGATGTATAGTTAAGTAAACTACACAGATTCATATGAAGCAGCAAAAAGTAAATAACAAATTGAGATATAAGGCACTGCAAATGTTTTTAAAGAATTAGCATGGTGTAAAACTAAATAAAGACAGGCAAAACAAAACAAAAAAAGCACTGTATAGGTTCTAATTCAAACATGATGAGGAAATACCAAGAGGTTAGTCCACATATCTAGGATCATTTCCTAGATGTTTACAGAGACTATATATTCTGACGATAAAGAATGAGTTGGATGATCTTCAAATCTACAACTTTTTTTTTTCTTTTGGTAAGGTATGCCTTACTAAGGAATAGAAATTATCTCCCATTTAGTGACACGCGCACACACACAAAACAACTATGTTTAGTGAAAAAAAACAAAACAAAAAAACAATGAAATTAAGCCAAACTTAACAAAGCTGGAAAATCTGATCATTACACCTGTTTAGGAGCCACATTATTTTCCTCCTTCACAAATGTCTTTAGATCCAAGTCCAACTGCAGTTTATATAGAAGGAAGTGAGGCCTTTTTATTCTTTTGTCTTCTCTACTTTTAAGCCTTTGTTTACTGAGCTCTGAATGACTAACACAACATTAACAATTCAGAGTCCCTGACAAGCTTCACATTTTTTTTTTTTAAAGATTTTATTTATTTGTCAGAGAGAAAGAGAGAGTGAGTGAGCAAAAGGCAGAAGGATAAGCAGGCTCCCCGCTGAGCAAGGAGCCTGACACGGGGCTCAATCCTGGGACCCTGGGATCATGACCTGAGCCGAAGGCAGGCATTTAACCAACTGAGTCACCCAAGCATGCCAGCTTCACATTTTCTGACTTAAATCTCAAGGAAATATATATTAACAGGACTTCTATGAGTCAAATTACTTACTGAAACCTGCTGAAAAGTATAATCATTAAATAAACCAAATGACAATTTTTTTCTTAGAATATAGTACCCATTTAGCTTAATTTATGCAAGTATATAAGCCAATTTCAGTACAATCAAAAGGAGAGCTTATGTATTTACATATATTTAAAGTATTTAGAATTTTGTTGGCACAAAGTGTTAGCTTTACATTACAAAATGCTAGCTTTATCATTAGTATTTACTAATGTTTTAAAAAGTTAACATGAAGTCTAACTGATTTTTTGAAAGCTAGACTATACTTCATACCGTGGTTTCAATTAAGACAATAAGAAACCATCATCCACTTAAACTTTTAAGCTTCTTTTTAAAAAATATTTCCCACAAAAGCCAAAAGTTGAGTTAAATTTTATCAGCTGAATCTCACATACGAGTTCTACAAAGTGCTAGTCCCAAAAGGGAGCAGAAACAGGAATGCATTTTATGGT